GACGAATGTAAGACCGGGAGAGATCTCTTCGACAAGGCACGGACATTTTTCCGACTATTCGACAGAAACGTCGACATCAAGATTCTTTCGTGCCAGATTTCCTCTGAGCGTGCACAACATTTCCTTTTCGGCAGCGAGGGTGAATTTGAGCTTCTCATTCAACACGCCAAGGATAGCAAGAGCACAGAAGATGGAAAAGTCACCATTGAAGTGAACCATGTTTTAGAACCTTGAGGAGGCTACCTTAGAACTCATTTGTTTTCTATCGCATCAGGGCATCGGTTATCCAAGTTTCTCAGCGATCAAGGAATGGGCGCATCGAGATTATCTCGCATACCAACCAGTTTTTCTTCGAGTATGTTCTAGCCACTTGCTTCGAAGTACATAATACTATTTCAGAGATTCATCAATGCCGAATATACATCAGGCTGAAATCATTGGATGAATCATATCAGTCGTTCTAGTGGGATGATTTGAACATTTGCACCTGTAGAAAAGTAATCGTCTTCCTACTGGAGATAGGCCTGAGGCTCGGAGTAAGGTTGCAGTTGATGGCAGAATGACTAATTAACCACGTGGGCTTGCGCGTCTCCGGTCAGTTTGGCCCCGTTTCCATCCCCTGAAGACCAAGAGAGCTTTCCTTCAAAGAAACTGCTACTAACCATGCTCCAAGCATGAATTCAGCGTCTGCTCGATGCCTCCTCCACCCGGCTCACCTCCCCCTATCCCTCCGCCCGTCCCCGTTGAGACTCACCCCAACCGGACAAGCAGCTTGAAGCCTCCACCGGAGCACCGCTCGCTCCCAGACCCCACACTGCTCGCTCCAGAAGACGCATATTTCTCCTCTGCTCATCTAAGAGGTCGGACGGCGAACGCAAACTACGATGACTCACTCCGAGCGCTTAATGGCAGCGCTGCTGCTTTGCGACCGCAGCCCGCGTATCCGGGCGCGGACAGTCGAAAAGAGCGCAAAGTGAGGGCGCCGAGCAGACGGAGGAGACGAAAAGGGGCATGGAAGAAGTTACTATGGGTGAAGCAGTCATGTAAGTCTTGATCAGAAATTTTATGGGTGCAAATCCGGTTGCCAGAAGACGGAAGAAGCTGACGGGTATGGGCCACAGACCCGGACAACTACACCGACACCGAAACCTTTCTCGACCATCTCCAGCGCAACCCGCGCGTGCGGCCCTACGACTTCTGGCCTCTAGTGGCTGACTCGACAGTGATTGTTCAGCATGTCTGCTCCGTGGCGATCTTCGTGTGCTGTTTTGTTGGCATTGTCCAGGAGAGGGTGAGCCCTGTTTCTGTCGTTTGCTGGGGCAGTGTTGGAACGGCCATGGGGTGGATTCTGTGGGACTCTTGGGTTTGGAGAGAGCATCATGCCGAACAGGCTCAGAATGCGGAGCGCACCGCGGACGGGGACGATGGTTCTAGTTCGAGCTCTGCAGCGAGCTCGGTCAATCCGTCGTCGGGGGCTGCATCGCGACCGGTTGGTCTGAAGGACGGTCAGAACGAGGTCCACGGGCTGGGACTGACCCTGTCCAGCGGTGAATCTGACGGATTGCTGCGGCGACGTAGCACAGGATTCAGTGGTGAGGCTTATGGCCCGTGTGATCCTTGCTCGCCTAGTCACCAGGTCAATGGTGGCCTCAGCAATATGCATTTGCATCATGGCTCCCAGGAGACCGACGAGACTTGGTTACTCTCGTCAAGGAACCGCCAACGGCTTTCGACTGTCAAGTCGGCGTTCCTGATTTACTTTTCGCTGCTGGGTCTCAGCCCTATCCTGAAATCGCTTACCAAGTCTACCGCCAGCGACTCCATTTGGGCGATGAGTTGCTGGCTGTTGATCATGAACATATTCTCCTTTGATTACGGAAGCGGGGAAGGCGCGGGCGCCACCAAATTCCCGGCTTCACTGTCCACTAATGCGGCTGTGATGGCATCTACTGTCCTGGCGTCTCGTCTGCCGTCTACAACCCATGTCTTCAGTCTGATGTTGTTCTCTATTGAAGTCTTTGGACTGTTCCCCATCTTCCGCCGGCAGCTACGACACACCTCCTGGACGGGACATGTGCTCCTGACGCTAGCGCTGGTCATTGTGGCCGGAGGTGCGGTCGGAATGACCCTGCGCGGAGGATGGACCGCCGCGGTGGTCGGGTCGTTCTTAGGAAGTATTATGACTGCTTTTGCCATGGGGGGTTGTAGCTGGTGGCTCATCAGTCTTCAGAAGTACAAGAACGTGGTGACAGGGCCATGGGACCCAGCGCGGCCGATTATCCGGCGGCAGTGGGATTAGCTCAATGCCAGACTGCGCGATTTTGTGAACTGGCCTTGAGCCCGTGTCTATGATGCAATTTATCTTGTGATATTCTCATTTGAGCTTGTCGTGGTGTTCTGGCCCCGGATACGATACCCTTTGGTGTTCTACTTGATGTTTATATTTAGTACCTAATATTCTTCAAGGACCATAATCTCGTGACAGGCTTACAAGCCAGTTCTACTAAAGTACCGCAACTCGACAATGATTTGTAATGCCTCGTGGTTTCATGCTCGGCGCACTGTTCTCCCATCTTGCGCGTCGAATACCGCAACCCCAGGAATGTTCAGCTGTCAAGCATGCCAGAGGCGGAGGCTACTGTTTTGAGAAGAAATCCATCTGGATAGCAGCGGAAGCAACAAAATCCGGATTCGATCTCAGCAGCATTCTTGCTTCAAAGGGTCTGGAAGATGCTTGCTATCATCGCTTTGGGGCTGGATTGTCTCATCGTCATGTGCTGTTTCATTGTGCTTCACCTTTGTGCATCTGACATCAGATATTTCAAATGGAAAAGCATAGTTGAATAACTTGCATTGGGGCCGGATGCCTAGGAGACATTCTGGCTTCCCCACTGTATCATGCTGGGGCCGGGAATGTTTATTGTGTTGTTGCTCTATGTGGTTGTTGATGGGGCGAAGCCAGCAAAGCCACCCTGAAGGGGCCGCTTGTCTATCAGCCTCAGGATATAACTAGCTCTCACAAGTTGCGCATCTTCTTTCTCTTTGATAGTTCACTCTGAGGGATTTTGCCAAGGGTTGGGCACTCAGAGCAGTCGGTCTTGTCTGGTTTTGTTTCAGGTTGATTTGCCCTTCCTTCAGTCTGCTCGGTGGGCTTCTTCTTGTCTTTTCTTTCTTCATTCTCGACACTCTTTTCATCAAGCACTTTCCATCTCAATTCGATCAACACAAGATGCTCAAATCCCTTGTGTTCAGCCTGATGGCTGTCCAGGCCGCGATGGGCTTGAGATTTGCCATGTACATCGATCAGTAAGAGGCCTACCTAGATTTCCTGCGCCCATAGCAGGAACAGATTGACGCGATGAGCTAACAATTCAGGTACCACACTGTTGATCTCCCAGGTAGCGACCAGACCCAGGGCATCACACACGCAATCATGGCTTTCGCCCCATCTAAGCAGTTCAACACCGACTCCTCGTTCACTCCCTTTGACACTGTCGAGAATATGCGTAAGCGCTTCGCTCCCGACACCAAGGTCATGATTGCCATAGGTGGATGGGGCGACACCGCTGGCTTCTCCGAGGGGGCCAAAGATGAAGCCTCTCGGACTAAGTATGCGAAGAACGTTGCAACGATGATAGACAATCTGGGGTTCGACGGTGTTGGTAAGTTGAAGTTGCGGGGGATGAAACGCCACAACCATATGGATATGCATTGCTCACACTCGCTGATGATAGATATCGACTGGGAATACTCCGGCGGCAACGGCGACGACTACAAGAAAGTCCCCAACTCCCAGAAAACCGGCGAGATCGAAACGTATCCGCTCTTCCTGCAGGCTATCCGCGAAGCCATTGGCAAGGACAAGCTCCTGTCTGTTGCAGTCCCAGGTAAACGCGGCGACATGCTTGCTTTCACAAAGGAGCAGGGACCCAAGATCTGGTCGACTGTGGACATGGTCAACGTCATGTCATATGACTTGATGAACCGCCGTGACAACGTGACGAACCACCACACCAGCGTGGCCGGCTCCCTGGACACCATCAAGGCGTACGAGGAGATGGGCCTCGACACGGCCAAGATGAACCTTGGATTCGCGTACTATGCCAAGTGGTTCACGACTGATCCGAACAGCGACTGCGCCGAGCAGCCGATCGGATGTGCCGTCGTTGCGCTGGAGAACTCTGACGGATCGGACCCGGGCAAATCTGGGGCCCTGACCTTCGAGAAGAGCACCATGGCCGCTGCCCCGGATAGCCTGAGGACTAGCTCGGATGGAACCTGCGGCTATGCCAAGGGGACCAAGTGTCCGTCTGGATCGTGCTGCAGTCAGTATGGAAACTGGTATGTTTTTTCCCTCTACTCAACTCTACTAAGACCCTTCTGGGCTTGGCTAATCCGAACAGCGGCACCGGCGATGACTTCTGCCAGGCAGGCTGTCTCTCCGACTATGGCGAGTGCAAGGGCATTTCCGTTACTGATTCCTGGCGCCGCGCGCTCAAGGACGGCAAGACGGATGAGCAGGGAGGGGGTCAGTACTACTGGGACAGCACGGCCAATCTCTTCTGGACCTGGGATACCCCTGCGATGATCGACCGCAAGTTCAAGGAAATCGTGGATGCCGAGAAGCTGGGCGGTGTCATGGCTTGGAGTCTGGGTGAGGATACTCTGAACTGGGAGCATCTGAAGGCGATGCAGAAGGGCCTTGGGCAGTAGTCGGTACTCGGCAGTTCATACTTTGTGGCGACGTTATAGCCATGTTTCAGGGCTATTACTGTTACAATTTAATTGCACTTTAAATCGTTGATCTCTGATAGTAGATAGTAGTAGTAGTAGTAGTAGTAGTAGTAGAGAGGTAGCTGTCGTCGTACGTCCTGTCCGAAGCAGGTAGAAGAATTGACCAATCCGGAGGCGGGATGCGGCACGGGGTCGTGATTGGGGCGGTGATTCCATCCGCAAACATCATATGATGCAGAGACCAGCAGCACTCCTCATATCGCTTTAAGCAGTTTAAGAGGACCTGGACCTCAAGGCAAGCAGGATGGCATGTCCATCTCTCTTTCCAGCAACCACGCTGCCACGATGAGACTCGTCTACCTCCTCCTCCCCCTGAGCTTGGGGCTACCAATCAGCATTCCCGTCGAAGGCACGGAAGTATACCAGCTCCAACACCCTGAATATCACCAACAGCAACAGCAACAGCAACAGCAACAGACAATCCTCGCACAAAACCACTCGGAGCAGGACCAGTTGCAAAGCCAATCCAGCTCCAGCCCCCACGGCTCATTCATCAACCTCAGCCTCCACAAGTCCAAGCTCAAGCCCAACAACCACCAAAACAATACCAATGCCACCCAGCCAACCGACAAAATCCTCCAAGCATACCTTCACACCCTACACACCTCCCACCTCTGCGCGCACACCCTCTCACAATACGCCCCCGAGCTCCTCGCCCTCGCGCTCTTCTCCCTCCTCCCCGTTACCTTCTGCATCCTGACCCTCGCAGAGCGCATCGCCCGCTCCTGGACCGTCGAGGCGTATCCCGAGCGCGGGCGGGACAGGCGAAGGTTTCTGGGTCGGGAGCGGCGGTGTCTGATGCAGGCGAGGAGGGAGAGGGAGAAGAGGACTGTCCTGGAGAAGGGGTGGTGGATTGCGGAGCGGAAGCGTTGATTCAGCTCAGTTCAATTCAATTCAATCGTCTTGATGTTTGGATCTGATCTGGTGACGGTACCAGATGGGGGAAGATGAAGGAGCTTGCAGATGTGCCTCAGCTCTTTTCGCTGTCTCCACGACGGGAGTTCTGCGCTGCCCTGATTGCGGTTGGTCGTGACGCTGCGAGCGGTGCTGCTCGAATGTGGGGCAGATTAACCGAATTCTTGACCTGGGAAAAAGCCGATAGCTTGGTGATAGAGCGCGGTGGTTCGTGGATCGAACCGAACGAGGTCAGGATGGCTGGTTTCATCTTGATTATCCTGCTCAGAGTTGAGTGAGATCTGGTATGAAGACGAAAGTCAGACGCCCAGTTAATGTACAGTCAAAAACGTGTATAATAACATTTACATAATATACCCATACAGTTAAACCCGGCATAACCGTCCATTCTGATCTGGCAGCCCATCCTCACTCTCCACAGTCCAGTCCTCACTACCTACAGCTGTAGGGGCGTAGAACAATCCAAAGGGATCATACCGCTGCTTCAGCGTATACAGCCGCGCATAGTTCTCGCCATAAAACGCCTGCTGGAAGTTCGGCTCGAGGATATCGGCCTCGGACATGTAGGCGCCCGCATCAGGGCAGGTGGCTCGCCATTGTCCCAGCACATTGTTGCTGAAGTACTTCATGGTCTCCAGGATCTCAGTGTTGGTGGCATTACTGGCCCAGCTGGTTGAGGTGATGGCGTGCATGAGGGTGTTGCGGAAGGCCGGGTTCGCAGAGCTGGCCGGGTAGCCGTCGGGCAGCTCGGCCTTGAGGTTGTATGCGAGCATGGGGTATCCGGCCTCGATGGTGGACTTGATGGTTTCGAAGGTGGTGTTGAGGAGAGTGGCGTTCTCCCAGTTCGCGCGGGGGAAGAGCCACGAGCCGGTCATCATCGTCGACGAGGCGACCGTCTCCAGAGGGAAGCCAGCCTGCCAGGCGTCGTAGAAGTTGTCGTAGTAGGTCGAATTGGGGGTATAGGCGATGCCGAGCTTTTCGAGCTGGTCGTACCAGGGCTTCATAAGAGCGTTGAACTCGGCGACAGTGTGGTTGACGGCGAAGTAGGGGCTCATCAGGAAGGTGAAGGAGTCAGTGCCTGTGGCCATAACCCAGAAATAGGCGTAGGTGCCTGCGTCGGCGTTGACGGCGAACCGGTCAAAGTAGGCGCGCACACCAGCCCAGAAGGCGTCGACGGGGACGTTGGTGCCAGTCGAGAAGGAACCGGTTGACACGGTGGCGCCGACCTTGCGGTGGACGCGCGAAATAATCGAGGTAACCACACCATAGGTGCCTACCACGTTAGGAATGGGAACTCTTCCGAGAGACAGAACAGGACGTACCTCCACCACCTCCACGCAAAGCCCAGAACAGGTCGGGATCAGTCTCCTCGGTCACGGTGACGAAGCGACCATTGGCAAGAACCACCTCGAGGGCAAGGACTTGGTCCGCAGCCAAGCCGTAGATGCTGGACATGGGTGAGTGACCACCACCGAGGACGTACCCACCGGCCACGCCAACAGTCTATCCTTCCGTCAACGACGAGTCACATGGTGCCAGAAACGACCTTACCTTGCACTCGCCACCAACGGCAGTGAACCCGAATTCGTTAGCCTTGCTGTAGATCTCAGACGCCTGAACACCGGCCCCCATCTTGACAGCGGGACCGCTGTAGCGAGAGCCTTTGTAGTTCTCAATGTACTCAATATCCTTGAGGTTGTGGGTCCAGATGCCCAGGGCACCGGCACCGGTGGACTTGCCGTTGAAGTCGTGGCCGGTGTTCTTGACCACCAGACGGATGCCGGTGTTGCGCGCAAAGTTGACAGCCAGCTGGATCTGAGCCACGTTGCTCACATTGACCGCGTAGCTGCTGTAACCACCGACGGTGCAGTTGCCAGAGGGGTCATCAGTAGGCAGACAGGTTCTGCCCTCGTACAGTGGCCACATAATCGATGCGGGATCGGCAGCACTGCCCAATCAGCCAGAAATCTTTGTTGATGGAAGGACAGAACTTACTGCATGTATGAGTTGGTCCAATTGGACGTGACGGCCTCACATTCCGCCGCATCGTACTCAGGCCACGAGGAATAACAAGGCGCAGCCAGAGGGACAGTCTTGACAAGTGCACCGCCCAGAAGCAGGTCAAACAGCTCCCAGGTCCACTTGGACGGCCATAGAATATCGTCTGGGAAGACCTTGCAGAACTTGACACCGCGAGCGGTCAGATTAGCCGATACAGAAGCACTGTTACCAAACGCAAAGAGCTGGGTCTGGTTTTGAATGGCGGAGCTGAGGTTGGCCAGCACCGCGTCAGTCAGCTGCAGAGTCTCTGCGGGGAAGAGATGCACCCCCGCAGTCGTCGAGTCGGAGGACACGGACTGAGCAGCAACAAGTGTGGCATTGGATTCGGCCGTACAGAAGTTGCAGAGAGCCAGACCCATAATGAGGATGGCCCTGAGGGAGAACGGCTGACGGGGAGCCATCTTTTGGAGTGAATGAATGGACGATCAGCAACAGTTGCCCCAAGTCAGGGATGAAAGACTGGTATTTGAAGAACGGGGACGATGCTCAACCATCCAACAAAGAGTGTTTAGGGACACCGGATAAACTCTGCATTGGAGTATCTATGCCGTGTCAGCCATCACTAGGAGGTGGACTTGCAGGAGGAAGAACCCGGCTAGCAGTAGTATGCAGCATGGCCGGACTAATTCGGGAATTGACCAGTAAGATCAATGCTCGAGTCAGGTAATTGTTTCTGGCAGCCAACAGGGATCTAGATTCGTCAGTAGGTAGATAGATTAATACTAAAGAGGCGAGTAGAGGATGAGAAGAAGTGGAGAAGAGATGAAATGTCTCGACCGTCTAGGTAGATAGTAATGCGCCTCAGGCCACAAGGCAACGCTTGGATCCCACTTGTAGCACTTCGTAAACTCCGGAGTAATTGAGATAAATATCATTGCCTGCTCCGTGCTGTCCTGTTCGCCCATATCTTCCAGTGCAGTTTAGTCGTACATGTGTGTTACACCTCCATCGAGGCAGGAGAGAGCCGTCATGTCACCACCGCAGCACTCAACCTCTTCACCGACTTTCTCGTCCTCTCCGTCCCCATCGTAATTGCCGTCTGCATCGTTCCCTGCTTTGATGGGGTGAACGTCTCTGGCAGCATCTACGCAGTTGAAACGACTCAATCTAACTGCTGCGATTCAACCTAAAATATCGGCTTCCATAACACCGCGATCGAAGTCGCCAGTGGCCGATTGCTGCATTCGCCCCCCCCTCCATCAAAGTCATTCTCGGCCAATACTCCTCTCCTCGGCACCTCCAAGGCGGCTCGTCTAAGTATGGGGTCCACCAGCAGCTGGAGCCGTCGGTTCCAGTCAGGTTTAAGCTTCTCTCGGACCAAGTCCGCCCGCGGCTCGGACGACGGGTTCGACCTGGCGGATCCGTAGCAGTCAAGAAGGATGGAATCTCGGCCGCGAGCTGCACAATTACACCAGACACCAGACACCAGACACGGCGATAGTAACAGCCTTAACAGCGATGATGGAGTGGTGAAGATGATGCAGATGATGGACGTATTGGTGTGGTATAGCACACGGGAAGAAGAGAACCTGGTATCGCACTCGCGCGAGAGGAAGACCGGGGAATCGACAGTCCTGTTTGAACTCTCTCCGCCTTGTCGATGCATATATAAAAATATTGCCATACTACAATGTCTGCATGATAAAATGGTTACACCAGATCACAGCCGAGTTACTGCCGATAAGTGCGGGGTCAATGGGTGCTGCTGGTGATAAAGTCGCACAGAGCCCCTCATCGCTGATCTTTTCAACTCACCTCCTTCTGCCATCAAAAGGTAACATATAGAAAATGGCCAAGACGTATCAGTTGCCATTCAAGGTATGCGGCACTACCAAATCAGCAGCTTGCAATGGCTAACTTCCTCTAGCTTGAAGATCCTAGTCTTCTCCATTTCGACTCCTTTGTTGGAGACGAATGGGTTCAGGCCAAAAGTGGGAAACGATTCGAAGTCGTGGGTAGGAACGGCCTATTTTCCTCTTATTGAACCCCCATGGTAACATCAGTATAGACCCCGGCACCGACACACCCTGGGCCAGTTGTCCTGCCAATGGCGTGGAAGACGTGAATCCCGCCGTCCAGGCCGCCCACGCGGCGTTCGAAACCTACAAGAAAACCAACCCCCGGCAGCGCGCCCAATGGCTCATGAAATGGGACGCTCTGATCCGGGAGGCGCGGTCCGACCTCGCCCAGATCCTCACCCACGAGACGGGAAAACCCCTCGCCGAATCGTATGGGGAGATCGACTACGCCACGGGCTTCACCTGGTGGTTTGCTGGTGAGGCGGAGCGCATCCATGGCACGGTCAGCGTGCCCTCGGCGCCCAACCGGCGCGTCTTCACGGTGAAGCAGCCCATCGGTGTGGCTGCCGCCTTAGTCCCCTGGAACTTTCCCATCGCCATGGTCCTGCGCAAAGCAGGCGCCGCCTTCGCCGCCGGCTGCACGATGATCGTCAAACCTAGCCCGGAGACTCCCGTCACGACGCTCGTGCTGGCGCACCTAGCGCAACGCGCAGGTTTCCCAGCAGGCGTGTTCAATGTGCTGACCACTGACCTGGAGAACACGCCACCGCTGAGCGAAGCGCTCTGCAAGCATCCGCTCGTCAAAAAGGTGACCTTTACAGGATCCACGCGCGTCGGCAAGCTGATCGCCGCGCACTGCGCCGAGGGCCTGAAGAAGGTGACCCTCGAGCTCGGCGGGAACTGCCCCTTCATCGTGTTCGACGATGCGAACCTCGACCAGGCGCTGGATCAGCTGATGGCGCTGAAATGGCGGCATGCGGGCCAAGCGTGCATCACCGCCAACCGTGTGTATGTGCAGGCGGGGGTCTACGATAAATTCGCACAGATGCTCAAGGAACGCACGGGGAAGTTGGTCGTCGGCCACGGCGCGCAGGAGGGCACCACCATGGGCCCCGTCACGACACCGCGAGGCCTGGACAAGGCACTGGCGCAGGTCGAAGATGCGCGCCGGTTAGGCGCAGACGTCATCCTCGGCGGCGGACCTGTCCCAGGGCAGAAAGGGTACTTCTTCCAGCCCACCATCCTGACAGGGATGAGGGAGGAGATGCTGGTGTCGCGCGAGGAGACGTTTGCGCCCATTGCGGCGCTGTACCGATTTGAGACGGAGGAGGAGGCCGTGCGCATGGCGAACAATACAAGCATGGGACTGGCCAGCTACGCGTTTACCAAGAATATTGATCGTATGTGGCGGATGTTGGAGAATCTTGAGGCGGGCATGATTGGCATGAACACGGGTAATGCGTCGGCAGCGGAGTCGCCATTTGGCGGCATCAAGGAGTCGGGATACGGCAAGGAGAGTGGGAAAGAGGTGGCTGTCAACGAGTATCTGATCACGAAAACTGGAACCCTGACTATTGAGGGGCAGTACTAGGAGATTGTTGTATCTTGTTGAAATTGGGTCAATTTGCCGCATGCCGCGTTTGCATGTGACTCTCAGTAAAGATTCGACTCCAGCAAAGTATCTACAACTCAAACGGTGGGGATCTAATAGAATACTCCGTAGAAGATGACACGGTGCTTGCTTCCCTTTCCAAAGGAGCTGTGGCTCTTAAAGACGTGTTGTGTATAAACAGTAGTTTGAGTCGATAGACGCGTACCGACCAGATGTGGACAGCTCGTGGAAGATTCCCCTTTGCGTATTCTAAACGAGCGACCCAGCGCAACACCCCATGTAAGTACGTGGTTATGCATAATGCTCACGGACCTCTCTCATATGATGCTTATTCTCGGAGAGCTCCTCAGAAATTAAATGATTAACTCAGTATACTCAGTACGTAGTCTCTTAAAGGAACAATAATGCTAACAATAAACAACGATTAGTCCATCTGCAGGCTGCAGCTCTCTCCACAATAGTCGCCGAATCTGTCTAAACGTCCGCGGGCGGTTGCATCGTCGAGTCTTCCACTTCGAGTGTTTGAGACGAGAGACGATCGTCTAGTTCTCCTAATCAATAATAATCATCATCATGCAAGACATTGGAATCCTCGTCGTCCCCAGTTTTTGGTCGGATCCTTCCGCTTAGTCGTCTGCCGCCTTGTAACGATCGGCTAGACTAGACTATATACTATCTATCGCTCATCCACGAGATGCGAAACTTTGCACGAGAGACTCCGCTCCAAACGTGATCGTCGATTTCCTAATTGAGTAAGCATCTGCTCTACTCTCCTCTGCTTTTCTTCCCTCTCTCGCTCACAGACGCTGGGGCGATCCGTAGCGATCGGAGTCTTGTCTTGTTCTGCATCGCTATTATTAATTTGACACGAGCCCCTTGTCCAACCTTCTCGGTTATTTCTAACTAACTGTCTTTTGACCTCGTTCCTGCATTGTTATCTTGTTGTCACTTCTTCCATGACGCATTAGCCTTCATTGTTGGACCATATAAACGAGGCGGACTTCTCTCTCCATTTTCATTTCCTTTCCTTCTTCTACTCTCATAATATAATGGATAACGATACCCTCGACTCCCTACGACACCTTATCCAATGTCACCCTCTCATCGATAATCATGCTCACAACATCCTCGACAAGGCTTCGGCCTGCAATTACGCTAAGTATCCCTTTGAGCAGATCACCTCTGAAGCTCAAGGGGTAGCTCTACAGAATGCGACTTCTACACTGCCGCTTCACCGGGCGGCCTCCCAGCTTGCTGTCCTATACGACTGCCCCTCGTCCGACTGGGAGCAAGTCAAGGCGGCTCGGCAGAAATGGGTGGAGCGCGACTACGACGGCTTGATCCGCCAATGCCTGCAAGGGACCCATACCTTGCTTCTGGACGACCTCCTCACCGACCAGGACATCGAGCCGTACCAATGGCACGATCAATTCACTGTGTCCGCGACCAAGCGCATTGTGCGCATTGAGGCCCTAGCGGCGCGGATGCTGGCGACCGTGATGCGTGGCTCTAGTATTCCCGAGGCCGAAGATGTGTCTGCCCTCGAGAGTCGGTTTCTGGCGTTCCGTGATGGCTTTAGCAGAATGGTCTCCGAAGCTATCGAGGACCCCGCAGTGGTGGGGTTCAAATCGGTCATCTGTTACCGGACCGGGTTGAACGTCCGGCCAACTGATGAAGACGCAGGCGTTTTGTTGCAATCGTTTGCTCGTACCATCCGCGCCTCAAAGGCCGAGTATCGGGTCGAGGACAAGCCCCTGAACGATTGGCTTGTGCGTCAGACCCTCGACCTGCTCCAAGCCGCCAAATCCGGCAGCAAAGATTGTAAAAACAAGCCGTTGCAGCTCCATACTGGTCTCGGAGACAACGACATCAGCCTGGTGCTGGCCAACCCAGCCTACTTGCAACCGCTGATTGCGCGGTATCCCAAGGTCGACTTCGTGCTGCTGCACTCCTCGTATCCCTACACGCGTGAGGCGGGCTATCTGGCCTGCGTCTATCCCAATGTTTATCTCGATCTCGGGGAGGTCTTCCCTATGGTCAGTCGGGATGCGGAGGAGTCCATCATTCGGGACAGTCTGGACATTGTGCCGACCAAGCGACTCCTCTGGAGTACGGACGGCCACTTTTTCCCGGAAACGTTCTACCTAGGCAATAAGCAGTTCCGCGATGTATTAGAAAAGGTATGTCCCGTCGTTGCCTCGAATGGTGTACCCCGCAGTTCTGATGGTTGCAGGTTTTCGTGGACTACGTCCATCAAGGAGACTGGACAGTCTCACAAGCAAAGGAAGCAGCGGCGGATATCCTTTTCCACAACTCCAACCGCCTCTACGACCTGAACGAGCAGCCATCGTTCGACCAAATATCCAAGCAAATCACCATCCCCTCCACCCACGCTCTGGACACCTTCATGCGGTGTAATCCCGACGTCAAATACGTGTGGATGCAATGGGTCGACTACACCGCAACGACCCGCCTACGGATCTTCCCCATTCTCGAATTCGCCAAGATCGTGCGCAAGCAGCGTCGCATCGGAATCAGTCTCTGCGTCTTCTGGATGCTGCAGGACGACTCCATGACCCCTGAAGGCACCACCACCGGCCAATTTTACATGGAACCCGACCTGACCAGCCTCAGCCCCAACGTCGGCCTCGACTCCAAAAGCGCCACTGTCATGACCTTCTGGCGATCCGAGGACAACAACAAACCCCTCGAGGGCTGTCCTCGGACGGCACTCCAAAACATCGTTGATAAACTGCACACCGACCACGGCATCGCCGTCACCTGCGGCTTCGAAATCGAAGTCGTCTTCCTCCGTCCCGATACCGACCCCTCCACCGGTGAAACTCGGTATCTCCCCGCGGTAACCAACCACTCCTGGTCCCAAATGACCAGCGACACGCGCCGCATGCTGCCCCTGCTCGAAGAGATTGCCGACACTCTAGCCGCCATCGGCATCCCGCTCGAGCAATTCCACTCCGAGTCCGCCCCCGGCCAATTCGAATTCGTCCTCCCACGCAACAGCCCCTTACCCGCAGTCGACACCCTCCTCAAAGCCCGCCAGGTCGTCACCCACATCGCCGAGCGCCACCGCCTCCGCGCAACCCTCCACCCGCGACCCCTCCCCAACGTCGCAGGCACCGCCTCCCACGCGCACGTCTCCATCTCCCCCTCCACAAACGAGGACTCCTTCCTCGCCGGCGTGCTGGCACACTTCCCCGCCCTGTTGGCCTGCACTCTCGCCCAAGAAACCAGCTACGACCGCGTGAAATCCGGCCTCTGGGCAGGCAGCGAGTGGGTCGCGTGGGGCACGCAGAACCGCGAAGCCCCATCCGCAAGATCGAGCCGGGACACTGGGAACTCAAGTCCCTTGATGGCCTGGCGAACATGTACCTCGCCATGGCGGCCTTCCTGGGAGCCGGGTACCTAGGCCTGCAGAATAAGATCCCTCTAACGGTGAAGGATTGTCTCTGTATGTGACCCCTTTCCCTTCCCTTCCCTTCCTTCCTTCTACTTACTACGTAATGAGATACTGACAGATAGCAGACGATGCGGCGACCCTCACCGACGCGCAACGCCAGGACCTCGGGATCACAACTCTACTGCCTAAGGCTCTAGCGCAGAGTCTGGATGCGCTTGAGTCTGATCATGCACTTCAGGAACTGCTCGGTCCGTTCCTGGTACGCAACTACGTGATTGTCAAGCGGGCGGAGGCCAAGAAGCTGGCTGCTATGGGCGAGGAAGAGCGGAGGAAGTGGCTGATAGAACGGTATTAACTTTTAAACTATGTATGTCCTGTTCGCAGGATTGCAGTCCATTTTTCAAATCTTCATGATATATTCTACCTAGACTGCGTTCGATTGGGCATAGACCGACATAGCTAATGAATGGTTGAGAAAGAAACTGTCATATCTATATGCTCCTCCGAATGCAAATTCTCTTCAATTATTTAATTGTCTTTTTCATGCAATATGTAAACATACAAAGGGGGTATCACGTTTATCGACCTCCAACCGTATACAGAGGGGTATCCCATCATAAAAGAGGAAAAAAAGGAAAAAAATAAAAAAAAGATGCAGGCCAAGATAGTCATGCAATGCAATCAACCGAAATCAAAGACCGTAATGAAACCCGTCCGTGTCATAAACCGCATTCAAAATAAGGTTATGAAGCAGACGGGGACGGGGACGGGGACAGGTACTTTCTATCCCGCAGACCCCGTTCCGCCCATTCATCCAACAGTCTGGAGACCTCTTTGAACGACACCGGTTTCGTCAGAAACAAGTCCACTCCGGACGTGAAGGCCTCCGATTCGTCACGCGAACTGCTCAGTCCCGTCAGTGCAATGATCGTGGCCGGTCCACACCCATCGCGCTCTCTCTCCAGTGCGCGGATGGCGCGCGTGGCTTCGAAGCCGTTCATAACCGGCATAGAGATATCTTTCCTCTTCGTCAGCATGTCAGTTTAATCTGGGGTTGATCGGCCTACCCATGAAAATAAGGTCGTAACCCTGCTGCATCCTTTCCACCGCGTCCACGGCCAATTTGCCATTCTCTGCAGAATCCAGAACCTCCAAATCCCGTTTCTTCATAAACGTCAACATCAAATTCAGATTGATCGAATTATCGTCCACTACAAGGATGCGTGCCTTGCGCTCGACGCGCTTGCACGCCGTCTCCGACGGTGTGGGCAGTGGCGACATGGAGGTATCGCTGCCATGAGGTGCGTCGGCAATATCGGACGAACTTTGTGACTGGCCCGAATCCTCGGAGGAGGAAAGGGTCCCAGGCATAAACGAGGTGGCGGGAGTAAGATCACCGGTCGCAGCAAGCGGATCTGCCTCGGTCAAGTCCGCGCACGGCGAAGGGATGCTGCCATTACTCATCCGGGGTCGTTCGGGAAGTTCAATGCGCGGCGGCAACGTGACGCCCCCACGTGGTCCATTATCAAGGCATTTCCTAATGCAACGGGCAAGCTTGTGCGGACCGCACGGGCGACGGATGATGCCCACAAAAGCGGCAATCGGTGACCACTCGGCCCGGATAGCGCTGTAATCAACTGACTTGTTGCAGAGGATCAAGAGCGAAGGGAGAATGCCAGTGACAGCCTCCTTTGAGATGCTCGCCAAGCTATCCTCGTCTGCCAAAAGCACGTCGATGGACTCTTGCGACGCCGAGGACACCAGCTCCAGACCGTACCAGTCCGTCAGGTAGCGCGCAATGATGGACCAGAAGCGATGTTCGAGGGCATCAGCAGGCTCGATACCAAGAATGGCAACGCGTCTGCCGCCATGGCTGTCGCGCAGTGAACAGGCCTCGTTCATTGTGTCGTCCTGTCTCGACGGAACGGACGGTGAAGTCAGGCTGTCCTCGAGACTGTCCTCTGGATCCGGGCGTGTTAAAGGAAGAGATACCTTGACCGTCGTGCCTTCACCGGGCCGGCTGTGGACGTTGATAGTCCCGTTCAACGCTTTGACGAGACTTCGAACGATCGATAGGCCCAGCCCAGTTCCCACCGCCAAAGTATCCTCTTGGGCGAATGGTGTGAATAAACGCCCCCGTAAGAACGCTTCCGAGATGCCTTTGCCCGTATCTGAAACGGTCAAGGTCACAAGTTCTTCCACACCATGTCGGCGTAACCGGCTCTCGGACGCCTCGGTGACCTCCAAGTGCACCGAGACCCTGCCCGCCTCGGTGTACTTCATGGCATTGCCAAAGACGTTCATGATAATGCGCCGCAACGCACCCGGTTGAGTCTGATACACCCAGTTGTTCTGCTCGATATCCATCACTACTTCTACCTCCGCTGAAGTATCCGGCTTGGGCTTCCGCCGCGCAAGTGAGAGTGTGGCAGCCGAGTTCGGTAAAAGGACAGACTGGTCACAGGAAGCCATCGACTTCTGTCCGTATGTATGGCCTAAACACACGCCCTCCACGACCTCCTCAGCCAGGACGGCAAGATCTGTCGTGATAAATGTGTCCAGATGCGCAGAGATCTTGTCCATGCTCGTCAATTCCGCAGGTGAGGTCTTGTTCCTCTTGAGGTGACGCCAAGTCCTCTCGAGGGAAACAATCTTGCTGAAGTCTAGGACTTGATTCATTGTATCCAACAGTGTTCGACCGCACGCGTTGATCGTCTCAAGCAGAGACAGTTGGAATTCATCGAGGTCTGTGCCGTGCAAAAACTCGGTGGCCGCCAAAATGCCGTGGAGAGGACTGCGAAGTTCATGTCTGTACGCAATTATGTCAATGACCGGTCGATGAACCAAGCTCGCTTTCTCTGTTTCTAATACTTACGAGATACTTCCAATAAAATCGCCCTTCTGCCGATCGGAGATCAGGGACTGGACCCGGTTGCACTCTGCCATGATGGATGATCCGAAGCCCAGAACCGAACTCAGCTCGACAGAAGGGCTGAAGACACGCGTCTCTATTGTGTTCCAACAAAAGCAACCCGCAAACCACTGGGAATTGGCAGCGTTCCACAAAGGAACAAACATGACCTGAGTCGCGTTCGGAAAGAAGAGATTCAACATGGCGTTTTCCGTTTGTTTCCACTTCTTGCCATTGCCCCGAGGCGGCTCGGTGGGTTTCATGCTGCGGATTCCGTTCGGCTTTTCGTCATCGGAGCTAGAGAGAATCCCATCTCGACAAAAGGACCAAAGCTTGCCCTTAGTGTATCGACGTAGCAGCTGGTGCAGAAACCCGCTGTCGAGATTTGCAGCAGGATACAGCACTGTCGAGCCCGGCCCTGGGGCAAAAGGTTCGTCTCTTGTGGAGACAGCTAATACAGGAGCCGCGGGACCGGTCTCGCCCCAGCAATCAGTTCCGGTCTTGAAATCCAGCATGTGGCTATTATTGACCTCCAAGAATATGACACCACCATCGGCATCCAACTCGAGACTTTCGCGGAGAAGATTAGCGGCTCTTCGAAACGCCCAGGAGCTGCTATGTGATTCGTCTAACTTCAGCCCCTCCGTTCGGCTTCCCGCCCACCAATCCGGGAGTGGTGTGTCCGGCCGGGAAGAATTGTTTTGGTCGCCGTTGTCGGCTTTTGAGTCTGATACCGAGCTGCTGGAGCGCGCATCGATGCTGTGAGAGCGTTTGGAGGGAAGTTCGAAACTCTGAGAGGACCCGCCCGAGAGGTGATGGGCCCTCGTACTGGACGACGCGGGAGTACTGAGCGTAGGGGCAGAACTGGCTGAACACGAGGGATGAGGGTCGACAAAGCTAGAACTGCCCTCTACGAAATAACTCAGACCCCGGGACAATCGAGCTGCACGTCTTCCTTCCGAGGCCTGCCGGCTCACCTGTAGATAGTCCATGATAAGCATTCCCAACGAGCCAAAAATCTCCTTCTCAAGGTCAGAAAAGCTATCGCGAGGCTTGGTATCCAGCGCAAAGAAACACCCAATATTGATTTTCGTTTCTGTCGTTAGAGGCGTCCCGGCGTAAAATCGAAAACGAGGTCCGTCGGTGACGAAAGGGATGTTCTTGTAAGACTCGCTCTCCTGCAGGTCATTGACCACAAGGAAACTGTATTCTTTGGGATCTCTCGAAGACGGTGGAAGTGCTACCGTAGCCTATAGCGGACAGAATTCAGTCGCCGCTATAACAAAGACAATAATAATAACTCAGCTGGGAAAGACCTACCTCGCACATTCCCCAAGCACAGGACGGCAGGGTAAAGCAACCATCCCAGATCCCATCTCCCTCAGCCTCATAAGCACGGACATCACTACCAACCGGGGACTGACTTGCTTGGGCGAGAATGAACTGCGAATCTCGATCGGATACACTGTAATGCAGAAGCAAAATTCCATCAGCTATGATCGATCGTCCCGACTGTAACTAGTAGGGAAAATAGCCGTACCTGATTATCACACGCTCCACATTTAGACGCAGTGCTGCAAGCTGAGCAAAGGATGTCAAAGTAGCATTGTTCTGGCCTAGAACCAGAGTATCAGGGACCACCGGCGATAACGGAGAATCTTCCCCGGTGGTCGCCAGTGGTGGTGATAATTGTGGTGGGGGCGGCGGTAAGGGGGAGGGCACACGGATCGAGGCATCAAGGGCTTGCGCCGTGGCTGGCGGGAGAAAATCATCGGCGATCGGAGCATTGTTCACACTGAAAGTGTCTAACTGAGGGAGACGTTCAGGTTGAAAGTAGCGATAGAGCTCGCGAGCTCTGCGACTGGCGTTATGGTCATCTCGGCGACTTCGAGATGTCGATGCCATAACTCAGTGTTGGTGTTCGGATCGGTGATCACGATAGGAACGGAGGGAGAAGAAGATTAGCCGACGGGACCGATTTTCAAACGTCGAGATCCATTCTTGGCCCAATGAGAGAGGATTGGGGCGTAAGGTCGACGTCAGAATAGGGTGTGGCAGCTTAAGGTGTGGCAGCTTGCAAGAAACAGAGGCTAAGCAGCCAGGAATAATGATGAGACCGACAGAAGGCAGCCTACGAAGGACAAAAAGGAGTAGATGAGCGCTTGAAAACTGAGATTCAAGGATAGGAGAGAAAAGGGTTGTTGGATGTAGGAGAAAAAGTGATGGGCCACAGCAACCAACTTTTTTTCCTGGCTCTCTTTTTGACTACAGAATCTGCGAAAGTGGCATGTACCCGAGTTTGCGGGAGGGGAAGACGATGAAGGGGTCTGGAGGAGAACTGAACCGCTTAAAAGGAAGAGAGCGGTTGTTGAGGGGAGATGGTAGAATGGATCTGTAGTATGAAAGGCAACACCTCGTAGAAGAAGGAAATACCTTAGATAATAGAATAGCTACACAGCGAATGCGACAGATTTGACCACCTCGCTTGACGATTCGCAACACATTCTCTGGCAAATGCTCGAAACCGTTTCTACTCCACCATTGACATCCGTCTGACCATCCCAGTTTTGCCTCAAGGGTATGGATCGGGCAGTGATCACTCAAAGGAGGAATTATGCTGAAGTTATGAGTAATCCCCATCACGATCATCGTCATCATAATAAGAATAACATGAGTTATATGACATGGGCCCATGGCCATTTCGGGACAAGATGAACTGAACAGATTGGATGTGACACTTGTGCAAGGGACTGGGGTTGAATATCTGCCAGTCCGTCAATCAAAATCCGCCACTCTCCAAGATTATCACAAACTGCCCTTGATGGAGCCCATTATCCATGGGCCGGGGACACTCACAGGGCCAGTCTTCCAGGGATTGTTTAAAGGCACAGCGACAATAGCCAGCAATAGGGACTAATAATTAATGATAAGGTACCAAATCTCCCACCAAGGAACCTAGGTACTGTACCTACGTAGGTACCTTGTCTTACCCTATTAGTCAATTCCCCCATCTTGGTTCCTTGTTTCCTGCCATGAGCCAGTCCTCTTCTGGTAACACAAGGGCTGCAGTGAACCTTCTGATTGGTGACCATTCTTTTCCCGGCCTGAGAAGCCGCCAGTCAGAGCTTGAGCTGCGGAATCAGGGCAGCGCAGATAGTAGGAGGTTGATGCGGGGCGGTGGGCTGTGGCCACAGGAGCTATGTAGGCACAAAAGTGTACTGGCCACTGTTGAACCTCGGAATATTATTATCACTATTAATAGTATGGTCAATGCTACGTAGTTATAAGATCTTAAACTAAGCTGATCTGCAGAAGCCGCTACCATCAGTCTGGTGTCACTATGATCCTGTGGAGACTGTGGAAGGCCTCTTCTCATTCTGATTGTTGGCCGTTTCATCCAACGAGTCTTGTTCGACACGGACCATAGCGTGGCGGCCAGAATGCGATGCGATGGGACTACTAGTGGGACTGGCAGATCAGTGGCTGACAGACACATGTGGCGAGTGACGCAGATCATCTGCCTGTGCAGACCACAGCAAGGGATAACAGAATAACTCTCATTTCAATGATGCTTGGTCTTCGTCTAAGCTAATTTCCGTATATCAATCATAACTTGTACATCTGAGCAATTATCGTGCCAGTTGATAACTGTCGTCGCTCAAAATTTCTCCATCAGACACTTCCGTACCGTCCACATTCGAGCTCGCTTGCCATAGATGTACATGGGTATCGTGAAAAACAAACATCCAAGTTGAATGCCACCGAGTGCGAGGAATACCGTCCGGGCGCCATCGGCCTCAAGCCAGTCGACAATGAACAACGAAAAAATCAGGCCGTGAAACACGTCTAAGATCAGAATTCGTTAGCTTTCCGTCCTCTTTACTGTACTGAAGGGAGATCAAAGACCTACTCTTACTCCAATTCAGTGTCACCAAGGCCTCTCCGGCATACTGCCGGTAGCTATCCACGCAGAAAGTGATCGATGTCGTGCTGCCGAGACAGCATCCAAATGAAATCAGACCGAAGAAGATCGTAGGCACGATCCAGGAATCTTTCTCCTCCGTGCTCCATCCGAATGCCATCAATCCCGCCGAAGTCGATAGAGCAATAGGGATTGCCATCACAAGACGAAATTCGGGCTCGTAGACGCCTCCATTGCGCCGGGCCATGAATCGCACAATCACATCGGATACTTTACCGGCAACCGCGGTTCCTAAGAGACCGCCGACAAAGGGAGAGATATAAATCAGGCCTGTCTGTAGAGGTGTGAAGTTGTAACCATGCGGGCCCTGGTAAAGATGCGCCACAGACTCGGACAGCACGATAAGCCATCCGACCGACAGTGCATACACTACTGATGACCAGAGAACAGCCGGGTAGGCGAACAGAATGAACGGTCGCATGGCGACTCGTAACCATTTATCATGCGAAATTCGCCCGTTCCAGACTCGCAGATAATGCGTAAAGGGGATTTGAGGTTTCTCTCGTAGTCGGTTGGTATACACCTGGGACGGAGGCAGTGGTACGGCTGAACCCACGGATTCGCTACGCGCGGGTGACACAGCAGGTTGCCTAGCAGATTCGAGATCGCGCTGAGAGTCCGACTCACGAGTGACCGCTGGAGCAGGTATTTGTAGGGACGCATCGTGCTTCTCGGGATCCGCCAAGACCAACTGATCGTTGTGCTCGGCTGGCGTCTCGGATGGCAATATCCGGTCGTGGTCTTCAAGAGTTCTTTCCTTCTCATCTGCCGGGTTTCCTTCCTGATCTTGATCCTCCACAAAGCCGACGTGACCCTTGTTGGACTTTCTGGGAGCAGGTGAGATAGCGTCTCCATTCAAGGCTGGGTTCTCTAGACGGTGGTGAAGTTGTCGACCCCGGAGAAGGTCCGATACGTTCCGTATCATATGAGGACGCTTGTGAGAGCGACGAGGACGCGGAGTGCGATCCCAGAACGTTTCAGGAACGAAAAAGAAGAGGAGGACGAGACAAGCACCAACAATAATTGCGACAATCCAAAACACCCAACGCCATCCCATACGGCCGATAATAGCAGCGCTGACCAGAGGCACGAGGTTTTTGCCACCGAGAAGGAGAAGAGTGTAGATGCCAACACGATATGCTCGCTCATGCAGGAAGTAGATTTCGGCAATAGTGGCCGAGGGAAGACACTCGACAGTACTGACGGCGATCCCTTGGAAAATCCGAGCAATCACCAAACTGGAGTAATTTGGAGACAAGGCACACCACACGGCAGAAAGGACAAAGAGTGTAGCCCCTAGGAGATAGACTGGTCGCTTTCCCCATAAAATTGCGGTCGGTGACATGATGACCGACCCGACTCCGAGACCCATCATGTATAACCCGGTGGTGTAGGCTACTTTCTGAGTGCTCACACCGTAGCTCTCAGAGACTTGGTTGAACCCAGCAGCAAGAATGGGTGTCATTCCTCCTCCCATTAAGCAGTAGAAGCCCAAGGAGAGCAACGCAGCATCGCGCCGCCACATGGGCCAGTTCAGCGGGTCATTGACGGAGTCATCTGGCTGCGGATTAAGGACAATTTGACCGTCTGCCGTCTTTTTCGGCTGGGGCGCCGTCGTGCGCGATGAAGAGCGAGAGCCAGGAATGACATTAGGTAGAGAAGATGCGGATGTTCTCCGCTGTTGGTGTCGCAGACCCAATGGTTCGTTACGATTCGAGGAGAGCAATAGCACCGTTCCTAGAGATCGTCAGGACTGTTCAATATTGGCACAGACAGGCGTGTAAACGTACCTGGCACTTCATCCGTCTCCTTGTCGCTAAGAATCCCTAAAGTCGCCTTCGAACGATAGCTCCGGTCATTGACTGACTCCGACTCCTCGGACTCTGCCTTTCCCGACCCTCTCCTTCTGAAGAACCTGTTCATCAAGCCTTGCGCTGGTTCACGATGTTCGCTTGGGGGGTTGACAGAGGACGTCTCGTTCTCGGCCATCTTCACCCGATGGACGATGGAGACCACCTCGGGCTCCTCGTTGGGTTTGGACCTGAAAACCCTGACACAGAAACACATGGTTAGCTTCGATCTTCGCTTGAATTGTGAGAAAACCAAAGCGGCGCGGAACAAGTCCATGAGTTATAATCACCTGTTGCAGCAAGGAGCTGATTGTTGCAGAACAATCAAGATAGTGGCACAACGCCACTAGAATGTGAGAAATGCTACGATAACAGTCTAGACCCGAGCTCTGCAGCTCTTGAATTGCTTGATTTGCCGTAACTCGAGAATGTGAAAGCAAGATGACCTTCCCTAAAGCTAGGGGTCAGATCACGGCCTACGAGCAGAGACCGGAGAGAGCACCTGAGCAACGATTGCTGACAGGCATCGCTGAAGGGAGGAATGGATAAGAAAATTTAAAGAATGAGATTGAAGAAAGAGGAATGAGGGAGAAGAGCGATTAATATGGGGAGTCCGCGGAAACGACAGGTGGACATTGAGAGTCGGTGAAGCTCGAGGACAAGAGGACCGGAGCTTGATGCCCAGACCATCACACGGAAAAAGTGTGGATGATGGCGTTCAGATTGTAGCAAATCTGAGGCGGATGATGGAGCCTGTCTCATGGTCAGTTTGGCGTATGGTATTGGTTATTTCCAGGCGGTGAGAGAGGAACCGCGGGGTACATCTTCGCACATCAACTTTAGGCTCGTAATCAGTGGAGAACATGTCCTATGATAGGACGGCAGAATTCCTTTGGGTAACGCCGGTGTAAGAACTACTTTCTCTAGTCTTTTAGCCTCGAAGATCTGCCATCAGGTGTCACCGCTTACTTGATAACGGTCATCACATTTCAGCCCACCGATTCTCTGGGCTGGATTGATGCCTCTGATTTGCGCCACCTGACACCGCAGATGACCTTGGTGACTTCTTGCATCTCTCTGGACAATCATCCAAAGTTGTTGGCTTTCCTCTTGTTTGTCAATCTGAAAATAGGTGCGAGGTGCGCAGTGCACACTGTTTCAGCCCGAAACTTTAAAGCATATGACCGCCGCAGTGTTACCAACCTTGAAACACAGCTATGAGGGGAACAAAGAAACACAGTTTATGTCCACATCTTGTATTCTGCATTCGACGACGAATCCCTCAGTCGGTTTGTCAAGGTTCTTTTGTCAACTGCGCTGGAGAGGGCATCATATGCGTTACTAATGCGAGTTATGGACGCGCTTGTTTTGCAAGATGCCAAACAGAGCATACATCGCCATGCTAGAAGCTCTCCACGAATACACTTTAAAGACGCACGTTCTAGTACACTCGATAGTTGGTGCTGCGCGCTGTCGTCATCCTGCAGGCAGGTTTCGCGTGGAGGGCTCAATAAGGTAAAACCCTGAGTCTGCCTTCGTGAAGTGATTGGTTGTCCTGTGTCATATGAACCCTGCCATCGTCGAGGTCAGTAGACAGATCAGCCTCGGTTTTATCATCAACAACGCTCGAAGCGCTGAAAATAGAATGTCGTCATCGCATTCGTTGCTGTCGGCCGAAGCGAGATGAAGCAAAAGTTCAAAAAACTAGACCATCAACAGGAAGATAGGTTATATACATCGTAGGTTATGTACATCGGCTTTTGATATGGGCCAGTCGTCAAATGAACATCTTCTTATGTATACATACGGCCAAAAAAACGCAAGATCATCCATCTCATCCCATGAGCGTCGCCTTTACCGATTCAAGATATCCTTGATTCGCATACATCGAGCTTGCGTCCCATACCATAATACCTCCGAAGCTCGAGAATGCCTTGCTCCAAGCGACAACTTCCCTGAGCTGTTCAGCACCAATATAGCCAGTT